GAGGTGCTACTATAGCTTTAACGAGAAGCTCGTATTACCCATATGTTTTGGACTCCAGAAAAATCAAAATTATGTGACAATCTTTTATATCCAGTAAAGGTCAGTTTAGAAACTACATAGGGCTGGGCACTGTGACTCATGCCTGTAATCCTAGCACTTTGGGAGACTGAGGCAAAAGGATTGCTTAAGACTAGGAGTTTGAGACCAGCCCAAGCAAGAGCGAGACTCTGTCTCTACAAAAAAAAAATAGAAAAATTAGCTAGGCATGGTGGCATGAGCCTATAGTCCCAGCTACCTGGGAGGCTGAGGCAGGGGGATCACTTCAGCCCAGGAGTTTTAGATTACAGTGAGCTATGATGATGCCATTGCACTCTAGCCAGGGCAACCAAGCAAGAGCCTGTAGGAGAGGGAGAGGGAGGGGAGGGGGACGGGGAGGAAGAAACTGTATGTAATGTACCACATGTAAACCAAACCTGGCTTTAAGTATAGAAAAGGGCAGTATCTTTAGTTTACCTGATGCTGCCTTTGAAACTCTTTGCCAAAAAATAGCTAAAGAACTAAGAAACTAAAAAGTATCCTATTATTATTAATTACATTGATAATAATGACCAAAAATTATCATTTCTCAACTCTAAATTAAAACTCTGTACGCCTCACGTACCATGTAGGAAAAATGATATCTCCTTGAAGGCTCTAATATTTAAATGTCTTCTTTAAATGCATAATACTAAGTGTATATTAAAACAAAATAATTTACACTTTCCTTCATAACTCAGAGTCATCAATGACAACAGTGTATCACACTTTGCTATTAAACAGGAAAATTCTCAGGGGCTAGAAAGGTGATTTTCCTCTATACCAAATGGTCCCTACCTACAATCCTTTTGACATCACACGCTTTTCAGATTTTCTGCCTCCATCCTCAGGAATATTTGAAACATCCTGCTATTATATACCTAAATCTAACATTCTCATTTCACTTCTAATTTACTGTTGAACAGAAAACTTAGAAGTTATGACCAAAATTAAAATTTGTTTAAAATCTCTGAGGAAAGATATAAACTTCAGGGCTCAGAATTTGTGACACCTCTGTTTACATGTACACAAAGGCATTTGGTGCATGATATTCTATTCTGGGTGGATAAGCTTATTGAATAAAAAAGTGACTACCCTAAAAGACTTAAGTTGCATTACTCAAGCTAAATAAATACCAAGTCATTTAAGAATTAATCCTAAACTCTGAAATTATTTTTAAGTATATAAAAATTAAATATGACTCAGAACCTTAGGATCTTCATAACATTGCTCCAGAGAGATTCCACAAGACAGAAGAAGAATTTTATAGGTCTGGATGAAATCATAGATGACGACAGAACGTTCCTTATCAGATTCCTTTTGCAAGCAGGATTGAAGGTACCACATCCTGTCTTTCACATTCAGGCCTGGATCCAGAGAAGGTGGAACCAAACTGGCACTAATTTCTTAAAAAAAAAAAAAAAAAACTCTTAAGGCAAAAATTACATTCATTCATTTTGCAGCAGCAATCTTTAGTAGAAAGCCTGAAAAAAACTGAGAAGCCTAAGACTGCGGACCCCAACCCCAGGGCCGCAGACCAGTACCAGTCCATGGCCTATTAGGGACTGGGTTGCAGAGCTCTGTGCTCCATACTTCCCACTCCTCACACCTCCTCCCCCATGTAAAAATGGTCTTCCATGAAACTTTGGAACCAGAGGGGTGGGGCACACAGGAGGAGGTGGGCAAGTGTATTTACAGCTGTTTCCCATTACTCACATCACTGCC